CAGGCTGGGGGGAGACATGGTTTTGGCTGGTATTGGAAGGAGGCGCCATTTTGAAGAGCATGCAGCTTTCTACCACACGCATACACATATACGTGCCTGTGCAAAATTGCACGCAAAGTCAAGAGGCAGTGTCCTCTTAAAATATAGCATTCTCATGTGCTCCGTGCATCCCAGGTCACTCTGGCTGGGTGTGTGGTGAGGTTGGCAGGGGCAGGCCTATGCCATTTCTTTAAGTGCTGAAATGGCCAATAGCCTAGGAATGAAGAAGTGACTACCGTAGTAAAGGCAAGAGCTGGGAGTGGGCCTGGAGTGCTCATGTGTACCCACAGGAGTGAATACATTGACCCACTAGAAGAGGAATGCTTTAACTAACTGTGAGTTGTGTTTTTGAGTTTACTGGGGAACCAAGTGGGAAAACAGTGGCAGGGTATTGCAGAATGACTCTGGCTCAGGAGGAGGCTGCTGGTTCTGTTAGAGCAGGGGTGGCCAGTCCATTACAGGCAAAGAGCCAAAATAGTTGTGTACATAGTGCAAAGAGCCTGGGGCGGGGGGGAGTCGTCGAGCAAAAAAAAAAAAAAAAGGACTGCCCCTTTAAGAAACGCAGTTAAAGTCTTTTTGTACACCTCAGGCTCCCGCTTGCTGCCAATTGAAAATGCTATTTTGGATGGCCGCACCAGACAACTCCCCTGCCCCAGTGAACACAGGGAGCCAGGGGCCATTTTCAGGGGCGCAAGGGCAGCTTCGCAAGCCGTTTTTTTTGGGGGGAAGAGCTGCAGATTGACCACGGCTGTGTTAGAGATATAGGCTATGTCTAGACGGCAGGCTTTTTTCAGAAGAAGCTTTTCCGGAAGAGATCTTCTGGAAAAGCTTCTTCCGAAAGAGAGTGTCCACACTGTGAAAGCGCATTGAAAAAGCAGATTGCTTTTTCAAAAGATAGCTATCTTGCATTTCAGCTGTGATTACTATGGATGGAGTGGCCACCAGGGCACCTGTACTTTTTCCTCTTCCCTCTTCTTTCGAAAGAACTCCCTCTTCCCTGTTCTCTCACACCTTTTTCTGAAAAAGCTCTTTCAGAAAAAGGCTTCTTTCTCATGGAATGAGGATTACCAATGTTGGAAAAACCCCTCTGTTCTTTTGATTTTCTTTCAGAAGAATGTGATTACAATATGGACATAATTAAAGTTTTTTGGAAAAGCAGCCAATTTCTGAAAAATCTCTGTAGGGTAGACATACCCATAGAGGAGAGATGGATTAAAAACCTACCTTTCCTTTCTCCCTTTGGGAAGCCTAGAATTGTTGGAGGTGCTAGCCTGAAGCAGTTTTTGCACTTTCTGAGCATACGGGAGCAACCCACAACCTACCTGGCCCAATCCCTTTGCCTATATGCAGTGACAGGCACAATCTAGCTCTGTGTATGAAGGCACCTCTGGATAGAAACTAGAGAATCCAAAAAGTGATTTTTTGTTTATATTTGGAGGCCAATATCAGTTGCTTTTCCTGCTCAGGTAGTGTCAACTAACAATAGTTCACAATGACACTATTTCACAGAAAGCAAGATGTCCTCTTCCACTCACAGCAGCATAGGAGGACATCTGACTGGCCAGTGAGAAACTGCGACAGACTGCAAGTCAACCATTGACAACTTTGCAAGTTAGGTCCAGCAGAGGAGACAAGTAAAATGTTAATCGTCTACTCTGGGACTTTTACAGAACTACACTATGTGCTTTTGGTTCTGTACAGATACAATATTGTTGTTGGGACTTTTAACCTCTGCTTTTCCCTCCAGATCAGGAAAGCAGGATTTGGGCCTGGAAAGAGACAGCCAGCGATGGAGCACAAGAAAAGGCATTAAAGACCTGAGGCACACCAGATCTGAAAAACCCATGCCACAGAGCAGCTCTTTGTTTAGTTCCCTGGACCTGCTCTCTCACAGCCTACCAAAGGCTATGTCTACAGTGCATCCCTCTGTCGACAGAGGGATGCAAATCAAGCACGTTGAAACTGCTAATGAAGCAGGGATTTAAATACAGAGCCTATATTCCTCAAAAAGTGAAGTTTACAGGATTTATCGAAAAAGGGTTTATTTTCGACAGATCCGAGTCTAGACTGCCAGGTTTTTTTCAAAAAAGCTCCATTTTGAAAGAAAGCGGTGGCCATGTTTATGCTAATGAAGCACAGGATATTTAAATCCCTGCTTCATTAGCAATTTTGACGTGCCTAATGTACATAACTCTGTCGACAGAGAGGTGTAGTCTATACACAGCCAAAGAGAGCTGTGAAAGAAATGGAGGTAGCGTTCATAGATTGCAGACATTTCCCCTCCCTCATGCACTGTTATTAAAAGATGAGCAAGCTGCATTATTAAATTTGATTAGAGGTATTTTGGATCTAGTTGGTAAAGTCTTGCAGAGCTATATAACAACAGCAGCTTTTGTATTGTTTTTAGCTGGTGTTCGAAAGCACAGTGAAAGCCAGCCAGGCAGTAATCTAATACAGAACACTCTGCTTCTTTTGTTAAACATCTTCTCCTAGAAATACTGGAAAGTATACTTTGTTCCCTTATCATTTTTTCCTCTTGAGAGATTTCAATTCCATTTACCCCCACAGGCCCAAATCCTTCCTGAACATACGAGTTAGACAGCAAGGAGGATTACTAGAAATAGCACAGACAAAGACCAAAAGGCTGTCTTGCATGCCTTCCTTTTCCAGTCAGCCACCCACTTTTCATTATCAAGGGGATGAATACCATATCTGATTGCATAATCAAAATCCAGTGACCTGTCAGTGCAGGCAGTAAAATAATGCTCTGTGGCTGTTTCCCTTTGACTAGGCTGCAGTTCTGGAACCCTTTTAACCCAATTTTTCTGACATCCTGTATCTGGTAGGCATTTAGGGAAGCAATCACTCAGCTAACATGCTTTCACTAGTATACTTGAAATAAGCTAGTGTATTTGAAATAAGTCCCCCTTTCTGGTAAAATTGTGCACCCTGATGCTAACATAATAGACTTTAATTAAAGAGTTACAGGAGGAAAAAGGTTAAAGTGGATGGAACAATGGAAATTGCGGATTAGTTTGCCCAGCAATCTTTCCACTCAGCATTTTTGCTGGCACGTTCCTCTGAAAATCTAAAGGCAAAAAGAATGTTTGTGTGGCTTGTGAATGTGGTTCACTATATGGAAAGAGCCTTTTGGTTTTCTTTAATTGTAATCCCATGCAGCCTCAATGAAAGATTGATTTTTACTTATTCATTACAGTTTGATGAGCTGGGCAAACCTTAAAGTGCAGAGAAATATCTAAAAAGATGCCAGAGCAGCTACTAAATTGTTCTCAGATTCAAGGTTGCTACCTGCACAATTTTCCTTATCCCTTCCACACTTTAGGGACACACACCTTTACCATTTCCTAGGGCTCAAGGTGCAACCCTGTTAATTTAAACACCCACCCTAATCCAATTCCTAAGGCTCAGGGCATAACTTCCTGTGGGTCTGCAAGATCTTTTGCCACTGAAAGAACCTTACACAGTAACATTCTTATTCTCTATTTATTGACAGTTACCAAGCAAGGAGAATATGCATGCTAATGGTCCTTGATGTTTAGAATCTGGTGTTGGTCATCTTCCTTTTCAAGTGCTAACTAATGGTTCTTATCAGCCTCTCATAACTACTCAGTCTTTAAGATGCTACTAGACTGTTTGTTGTTTTTTAAGTTTTTCCTGTTACAGACTCACTCGGCTACCCCTCTGAAGCTTATCTACTCACTGTCTTTTTTTTTTTCTTCCTCCCCTTCAGTTTTTTTCTCCCCCCCCTCCCCCTCCTTCCTTCCGTTATTTATCCTTGGATTTGGACTTCCAACACTCTGGCCATTTGAGGAAGTGGGTTGTACCCATGAAAGCTCATGATACCATCTACATGTTTTGTTAGTCTTTAAAGTGCTACTAAACTATTTGTTGTTTTTTAAGACTAACTTGGCGACCTACCCCTCTGAAGCTTTTAAGCATATAGTGTCATGCTCACCAATCCTGATAAAGGCAGGCAGACTTCCCCTGTTGGCCAAGCAAGGTCAGTGTCTCTGGATTCTAGCTGCTGCACATCACGGTCATGCAAAGAAGTCCTGGCTGCTCTGGTCTTAGGCTGTGTCTTGGAGGTGAGTTCTTCTTTCAGGTCTTCTCTCCTTCTTCTTGCTGTTCCTTTCTTCCTTTCCTCTTTCTCTTTTTCTTCCTGGTCTCCTTCTTGGACCCCAGTTTATATAGTGAAACTTGAGTCCTGCTTTGCTATACTTTACACAATTATTTTAGTATAATTTTGCTAACCAATCATAACATACTGTAACAGAATTACCTAACCGATCAGACCCCACCAACTTAGTTGATTTACACCTAGCAAAATTAATTATACAGCAGACAGAAACAGTTACAAACCAGACAGAGATCATATATTCAAATAATAGGAATGTGAGGACAATAATAATAGAATAAGGATTCCACAACCTCAACTATTGATTAACAGTTTCTTGTCAGACAAAATGCTTAAGCTAAGTTTTCTCTACCCATCTTGATATCTATTTCTTTATCTGGTGAAAATGGGTGCCATTAGGACAAGATCTCCTTCTTAACAGCTTGGTGTAATACTACTTTAATTCAATTTAGGTAGAGTGGGAGTATTTTGTGTGGGTAACAATGCCCAAACTGTGTTAATTACCCAGAGCTAAATAAAGTACCTTGTATAGAAGTGAGGGAATGGGGTTTTTTTAGCACCATTTCCCTTTCCTGTGATTCCACAAGTAGGAGATGGTACGGGCTAGGAACTGCCTGTGCGCGTGTGTGTTGATACATATGCACAAATATATATAATCCTCCCACCATTGCCAATGAGATGGCCTAGCAGTATAACTCCCCCCTACTCTCACCCGCAGTACTAGGTGCAGTCATCTCAGGGAAGAGTTTGAGTACATGCCTTTTATTGAATCTATGCTACAGGTGATGCGTGAAAGGCTCTAGAACTGAGGTGGCAATGAGTCCCATAGATCCTTAATATCTCCTTGTCCTGGGTGGAGGGAGGGAGAAGGTTCCCTTTGGATTGTGTCAGGTACACTTTGTGAGAAGATCTCCTAGGATTTTCCCATAGTTACTTGGCAAAAGGAGATAGTGATTCTTGGATTGGAGTGCTTAGATTCCTTACAAAAACTGGCACAGAAATGCTGTCTAGATCATTTCTCCACAATACGTAATTAGTAAAATCCCCTGCTATTATAATAAGGTGTTTTGGATTTGCAGAGGGAAGGAGTTACAGGAACCCCCTAAAATTGACCATGTTTTTTTATTTTGTTTCTTTTCACAAAGCTTTCCTGTTTTGACCAAGGAGGACTGGAGGCATTTTGCTTCAAGAACCAGACTGAAGGACTGACATAAGATGAAGGTCCTGTTTCTCCGAAAGAGCGCATCTGCTCTTCCACAAAAAATGTCAGAAGAGCAGACATGTTCCCTGGAGGCAGCAGAGTTATCCCGGAAAAACTCCGTAGTCTAGACTTAGCCTCAGTAAGAGACTTGAAAGGTGCCATACTTGAGTAAAAAAACCTTCACAACCAGACTGCAGCTTGAAACTGCAGAGCTGGAATTCATATGCAAACTTCACTCTATCAAATTGGTCTGAATAGATACTGAGCTAACTAACTCATTACAAGTAAAATTTCCCCTTGTGTTATTCTCACCTTCTCATCAATTGCTGGGAGCTACAGCCGCTCGGATTGAATTGGTCTCATTAGAACTGGTTCTCCATGGTAATGGAGCACTCCCATCTTTGCATGTGTATATATACTTGCCAAACTGAAGTTCCCACTTCATGCATCTGACAGATTGGGCTCCAACCCAGGAAAGCTTATGCCCACACAAATTTGTTAGTCTTTCAGGTGCCACAGGACTCTTTGCTTTAACAGAAGTAGCAGTTTGAGGAATTGTCCCAAATTGAGGTGTCATTAGAGGAGGTTTTGGAACAAATTGATAAACTTAGCAGTAACAAGTAACCAGGACAAGATGGCATTCACCCAAGAGTTCTGAAAGAACTCAAATAGGAAATCGCGAAACTATTAACTGTGGTTTGTAACTTATCCTTTAAATCAGCTTCCGTACCTAATGATTGGAAGATAGCTAACATGACACCAATACTTAAAAAGGGCTCTAGAGGTGATCCTGGCAATTACAGACAAGTAAGTCAGTAGTGTCAGTAACAGGCAAATTAGTTGAAACTATAGTAAAGAATAAAATTGTCAGACACATGGATGAATATAATTTGTTGGGGGAAAGTCAACATGGTTTCTGTAAAGGGAAATCATGCCTTACTAATCTGCTAGAGTTTTTTGAGGTGGTTAACAAACATGTGGACAAAGGGGATCCAGTGGATTTAGTATACTTAAATTTCCAGAAAGCCTTTGACAAGGTCCCTTACCAAAGGCTCTTAAGTAATGTAAGTTGTTATGGGATAAGAGGAAAGGTCCTTTTTTTTTTATTGATAATTGGTTAAAAGACAGGAAACAAAAGATAGGAATAAATGGTAAGTTTTCTGAGTAGGGAGAGGTAACTAGTGGGATCCCCCAAGGGCCTGTCTTGGGACCCCTCTTATTCAACTTATTTATGAATGATCTAGAGAAAGGAGTAAACAGTGAGGTAGCAAAATTTGCAAATGATAGCAAACTCCTCAAAATAGTTAAGACCAAAAGAGACCGTGAAGAGGTTCAAAAGTGATTAGGCAACAAAATGGCAAATGAAATTTAATGTTGATAAATATAAAGTAATGCACATTGGAAAAAATAAGCTCAGCTATACATTCAAAATGATGGGGACTAATTTAGCTATAAATACACAAGAGAAAGATCTTGGAGTCATTGTGGATAGTTCTCTGAAAACATCCACTCTGTGTGTAGCGGCAGTCAAAAAAGAAATTGAATGTTGGGAATCATTAGAAAAGGGATAGAGAATAAGACAGAAAATATCTTATTGCCTCTGTATAAAACCATGGTAAGCTCACATCTTGAATACTGCGTACAGATGCGGTCACCTCATCTCAAAAAAAGATATCTTGGCATTGGATAAGGTTCAGAAAAGGGCAACAAAAATTATTAGGGGTTTGGGACAGGTCCCATATGAGGAGAGATTAAAAAGACTTGGACTTTTCATCTTAGAAAAGAGGAGACTAAGGGGAGATATGATAGAGGTGTATAAAATCATGACTGCTATGGAAAAAGTGAATAAGGAAGTTTATTCCTACAATAAATGAAAGTAATAGGCAGCAGGTTTAAAACAAACAAAAGGAAGTTTTTCTTCACTCAGGGCACAATCAACCTGTGGAACTCCTTGCCAGAGGATGCGGTGAAGGCTAGAACTTTAACAGGGTTCATAAAAGAATAGATAGATTCATGGAGGTTAGGTCCATCAATAGCTATTAGCCAGGATGAGTAGGAATGGTATCCCTAGACTCTGTTTCTCTGGAAGTGGGTGACGGGAAGGGATCACATCAGGATTATCTGTTGTGATCCCACCCTCTGAGGTATCTGGTATTGGCCACTGTCGGTAGACAGGATACTGGGCTAGATGGACCTTTGGTCTGACCCAGTATAGCCGTTCTTATGTTATATTCTTAATTTTGTTTTTTCAAACTTTAAGCTGTGTGGTCTTGATATCATGGAAAATATTCTGAAATAGACACTTCTAGAAGATACCCAGGGATTCTCTAGGATCTTTACATTGTTTTTCATCCACTGTGATCACCAGGAAGTGTTTTTTTCTTTCTGTTTCACAGTTCTTTCCATAGCATTCTTCCCTCAATGGCTAAGGCTGTTCTTGGAACAAATTACCTTACATTTTATAGATTCAGAGCAATTTTAAAGACAGAAGAGGTTATAAAAATCCAGACTGACCTCCTGCATGAAATGAGCCATAGAATTTCACCCAGTAATTCCTGATTCAAGCCTAACAATTTGTGGTTGAAATAGAACAGATCTTTTTAGAAAGAAATCCATTCTCTAGGGATATAAATTTGACCACATCCCTTAGCAATCCATTTTAGTTTTTAGTTGCCTTCACTGTTAAATTGTGTCTCTTATTTCTGGTTTGAATTTTTCTAACTTCAGCTTCAGAATCTTGATATGCTTTTTTGTCTTCTAGAATTAAGAGCACTCTGATATAAGATATACATTCTGCTAATACAGGCATTTATATATTTTGATAAAGTCACCTCTTCAGTTTCAGTTCAGTAAGATAAGGCTGTCTCAGGCAACCATTTGGGCTGGATTTTTGGAAATGCTGACCACCAAAAACTCCATTGGTAATCCATAGGAGCTATAGGTATGGAGGATCTCTGAATATCCAACCAGAAGGTCTCTCAGGCAGGACATCCAAAAATTGGATGCAAGCAAAATTAGAGGCCAATATTGAAAATTTGGCTGTATACACCACAGTCTGGCTAGAAGTCTGTCTATTAGAAGGACTACATGTGCCACCACAGTTAACAATCTGTTGGTGTTTCAGTAATCTCTTCTGGGAGTTATGATTCATCAGTGTTATTTTTTCCTAATGCATCTATAACTAAAAACAGCTTTGTTTTACACAGTGATATTTTGCAGACTATTAGTCTGTAATATGAACTATAGACCTAATGAACAGAAAATTCTTAATGCTACATTAGTTTGGTATTAGGTAATGAAATATTGTCACCTTGAATCTGTTATTTCCCTGTTATGAGCTTTATCTTATAATCCTCACTTAACAGAGGCATGCCCAGATCCTTTTGTAACAAAAAGGGAATAATAGATTGAAGATTTCTTCAAAGAAAGGTAATTATTGTAATCTGAAAAGGCACGATTAAAGGTTAATAATCCAATAGCTAAATCTTTTATTCTTTTTATTTCCTTGACAATTGAAATTCTAGCTAAAAGTCCAGGGAGAATACTTTTTAAAATCCCAACCCCCAGAATTTCTCTTAAAAAAACTTGTCAGCAAAGAGGACAAAATGACATTTTTTCTTCTCAGTTTAGTTTTCTAGACACAAAACTAGTTCTCACCAGCATTGTGAGGAAGCTATAGGCAACTTCAAGTTCAAATGAGTCTAGTGAGGAACATGATCTTTTATCGGCACAAATAAAGGTAATGTCAATTGATACACATATTTTTTTTTAAATTTTTATACAGCTCTTATCTATGCTTAACTGAAATCAATTATCATAATCAAATATCTGAGCCCTTATGTATAGAATTTCTCATCAATAGACCTCAAAAGGCTTTACAAAGGAGACCAGTATTTTATCCCCATTTTACAGATGGAGAAACTGAATGACAGCAATGGGAAGTGACTTATTCAAGGTCACTTCACAGGTCAGTGTCAACTCTGAGTACTTTATTCAGTGACAATTAAAGTTAGATGACATAAGGCAGAGGTTAAAGACAGACTCCTTTCGGTTCAAATCGCTGAACCAAGTCCTGCCCCCCCACTCCTACCCTGGGAGCAGCCGAACAGCCAACGCAGGCTGCACCAGAGCACTAGCACTAGCACTAGCACTAGCACTTGGAAGGCAGGATAAGGGACGTCCGGAAAGTAGGTAGGAGGGGTGGATTCTGGAGTGGCCAATGGGTAGAAGACACTGTGAACATTTTTAAGTTAGTTAGCTCACAGAGCTCCAAAACTTCCGCATGTGGAAGGCCACCTTTATGGAGCCGTGTGCATGGTTCATCCCTACCCTCGGATGATGGGACACCCAGATGAGACCCGCCATCCTCCTGGAGAAGCGGGTTGCCATCGCTGTTTGAAAGCTTGCCACCCCAGATAGTTACTGGTTGGCGGGCAACCAGTTCAGCATGGGGAAGTCCACCATCGGGGGCCCACCTCATGGAGGTGTGGTGGTGGGCTCGGGGTGGGGCGGAAGCGCCATCTGCAGGGGGTTGTACCATCCTGCCGTCACTCAGCCCCGCTGGGGGTGGCGGCCTCATATGGGGTGGCTGCTGGGGTGTTTGAAGAAGTGCGGGCATCTCCAAGGGTTCAGGCACTCCCTCTCATTCTCTGTTTTGTGTGTTTCTTTGAGTCCTTCTGCAGGTGATGAGGGCCATCAACTCCATCCTGCTATACAGAGTCATCTGCCTGGGAGATCTGGACCCTGTCGTTGCAGGATTTGCCACCCTGGGGTTCCCCAACTGCAGGGAAGCCATTGATGAAACCCACATCCCAATCCTCATAGACCCTCCCGCACTTGCATCTCCCCCGGGGTCAGGCAGCTGCCTTGGCTGGTGGTGATCACCCCTCAGTGACAGCTGGTCCAGCTGTGGAGAATAAGGAGACACTGTCCCTGAGGCCATGCCCTCCTCTGTGAGCAGTGAGCAACAGTCCTCAGGGCACAGGATGGTGATCTCCCTGGAGCAAGGCCATGTATGGCCTGCACAGTGGGCCCTGCCTCACAGGGGCCTTGAGGTCCCCAGGGACCATGCGTCCCGCTCTCACCCCACCGTACCATGGACAAGCAGGCAAGAGAAGTGCCCGGACACACTGGGATCCCATTGCTGGGATAGGGGCCTGGAACAGCCTGGCCTTCCATGGGGGCTGCACACATACCTGTGCCTGGAAGCGCTGTCTGTGGGAGTGGGTGGTGCCTCACGCATGCAGACATGGCAGTGTGCTGTGTGCGGCACTCCTTGGTCTGTGTGGGGTCATGCCTGTGTTCTTGTGCCCAGCCTTCTTCCATTGGTGGCTGGCGGTGGGAGGGTGTGCCCCCCCGAGGGTCAGAAGTTTGTGTGGCCTCCCCTGAGCCTGTGAGCAGGTGTGCCCGAGGGTGCTCTGGGGCTGTATCCTGAGACCATGTGAGGCAGACTGGCACTGCACATGGTTCCACTTGCATGGACTGCAGCACGAAATCTAGACTAAGTGACAATCGCACCCCATCCCCTCTGCGGCAGCCTCCCCCACCCTGTGTATGTGACAAACTGAGAGCACTCACCTAATGATCCCTTCCCGCCCTCAGACATGGTTGTGAAACATCCAGGGCCTGGGGTATTGGCTGCAGTGTCAGGGTGACCATGCTGGCCGTGTCCTCCTCCTCCTGCAGCTTTCATCATCCCCTCCCACCTCCAGCAGGGAGTTCTGGGCAGGCAACAACCTTCTCTGGCCCCAAGTCTACCACTATGGGTGAGGAAAAGGCTTCAGGATTTGGTGGAGCTCCTGGTTATAGGGGCAGTAGGGCGGTCCTGCTCTGAAGTGAGAGCTGCACTCCCTGGCCCTGGCGTAGCCCTTTTACTTTGCTCCTCACTTTTTGTACTTGCTCTACTATGCAGGAGGTTGTCCCCTTGCGGCCAGAGCCTCGGCCATCCAGCCGTAGATGTCCGCATTGCGCCTCCGGGAGTGGAGATACTGCAGGATCTCCTCCTCACCCCACAGCTCCAGGAGGGACAAGATCTCCACCCTGGACGCATGCTGTTTGGTGTCCCAGGTTGGGTCATGGGAACCGTGGTGGTGCTCTCTGTGAGGGCCAGGGGATACTTGGGGAACTTGTGGCTAGGCCATAGCTCACAATGTGGGTGGCAGTCAGAGCCACGTGGTTCTGGGTGTCCTGGGTGCCTGCAGCTTTAAGAGCTGGCAGGAGACAGGAATTATAGAGTTGTGATTACTTTGGATGGAGTGGCCAACAGGGCACCTGTGTTATTTCCTGGAGGCCTCTTTTGAAAAAAACTCCCTCTGCCACATCCACACACACCTTTTCCTCCAAAAAAAACCTTTTCGGAAAAAGGCTCCTTCCTCATAGAAAGAAGTTGACTGCCGTTGGAAAACCCCCTCCATTCTTTTGACTATCTGTCGAAAGAACACAATAGCAGTATGGACACAAGTATTTTTTTCCAGAAAAATGGCCGTTTTTCTGGAAAAACGCTGCAGTGTAGATGGAGTGGAGGGATGAAACATTTAGCCAAAAAGGAAACATCTTAGACTTATCTTAGGGCTGCTACCCATGACTTATCCCTGCACTAAAGGTGAACGCTGACATTTTCCATGTGCACTGTTTTGCTCTTGAGGGGGCCTGACTGCAGGCCAGCTGACATCCCCCAGGGTACAGTCTGGACTGTTGAACAACTGTGTCCCTTTAACTCTTCAGCCTAGGGTACCTTTTACACTGCTTTGCTAGTGATAAGAAGCCTCTCCTGGCTCTGCTCACACATAGTCATTAGCATGAATGCCCTGCCAGCCACTCACTAACTATAAACAGGGCAAATTCCCTAACCCTGTACCTCAGAATGTGTGTCCTGCACTGCTCAGGATCTCACCCCTAAACTGTGTAGTTCATTAAAAGTCTGTCATTCCATCAAAGGGAATGATTGTGCACCAGCCTTTCTTAACCTGCGTGGACATTCACCAAACACTTCAGTCCAGACTTGCTGGTTTGGATAAAAGAATAAAGCACACTTATTAGATAAAAGCGACGAGGAGTCCTTTGGCACCTTATAGACTAACTGAAGTGTTGGAGCATAAGCTTTCGTGGGCAAAGACCCACTTCGTCAGATACATGTAGTGCAAATTTCCAGACGCAGGTATAAATATGCAGGCCAGAATCAGGCTGGAGATGACGAGGTGGATCCAATCAGGGAGGATGAGGCCCACTTTTAGTAGCTGATCTGGAGGTGTGAATTCCAAGAGAGGAGAAGCTGCTTTTGTAGTTAGCGAGCCATTCACAGGGTACATCCTCATCCCAGGAGGTTTACCTGGGTGGTCAACAAATACCTTTGATGTCGACACCCGCGTGTCCAGACTATCGCGCTGAGCCGACAAACAGCTGATCAGCTGTTTGTCGGCTCAGCGCGATAGTCTGGACACGCGGGTGTCGACATCAAAGGTATTTGTTGACCACCCAGGTAAACCTCCTGGGATGAGGATGTACCCTGTGAATGGCTCGCTAACTACAAAAGCAGCTTCTCCTCTCTTGGAATTCACACCTCCAGATCAGCTACTAAAAGTGGGCCTCATCCTCCCTGATTGGATCCACCTCGTCATCTCCAGCCTGATTCTGGCCTGCATATTTATACCTGCCTCTGGAAATTTCCACTACATGCATCTGACGAAGTGGGTCTTTGCCCACAAAAGCTTATGCTCCAACACTTCAGTTAGTCTATAAGGTGCCACAGGACTCCTTGCCACTTTTATCTTAGACTCATGACATTTAGAGTTTGTTACACTTAAACGAAATCCAAATTCATGAAAGAAGTAAACGGGTAAGGAACCCAAATAACCTTACCTCTGCCCTGTAGTCAGATCATGCAGTAATCTTAAAATTTAGGCATGTTTGTGATTATGATCCTAGAGCAAACTGATTTTTAAAGACATGTTAATATTTTCATTATTTTTCCCTTCATGGCATTGATTCTGCATCACACAACCCCAATCAATAAGTGTCACAGTCTTATTTCCAATGTATTTATTGTACAAAGCTGGATCAGGCACAAAGGATATTGAATTTGTAACTATCTTTTATGTCAAGGCACAGAATGTGACCATCCAGTTTCCAGAATATCAAAATTGTCAGCAAATTTACAGATGCAAGCTAAGCAGTAAACTCTCTTATATTAAACCAATATATGTGTGTCCACACTAGGGGCACATCTAAACTATAAAGATTTTTTGAAAGAGGATATGCAAATTCCACGGGAATTCTTCCGATTGCATTTTCAAAAGTGGAGCTTTCAAAAATGAAAGTAGTCTGGATGTGTGTTTTTCAGAAAAAAACCCTCTTTTTTGAAATAACCGCT